ATTGTAAGCATTCTGTAATTGATGTCTCCATTGTTGATTCTCTGCCCTTTGTTACTTTTCTTCTATTAATACTTTAACTTCTAATATATATTTTATAACTTATATCAAGATCTCAGAATACTTACTAAATACAACCTGCATGATTTTTTGAAAAGACCACATTGATCATAATCAAATTCTACATCTTTTTTTTCTCTTCTGCAACTTGAATACTTGATTTTTGCTATCATATTCCATAATAGATATTATAGTTTTTTGATAATAGCTGCTAAAATTTAGTTTGATATGAATAAATTAACTTAAGAGATTGAGAAGAAGATAGCTCTCTTACATAGAATAAAGAAGGAGTAAAATATTTGAATCTAATAGAAGAAATAAGTTTAGTTGAAAACAACTTGATTAACTGATAGCAGCAATGAGTGTAGTAGTTTTTTTTAAACCTGGACAATTTTTTTAAAATGTCTATTTAGCTTTGAAATAAGTTATTTTTGGTGAGAGTTGAAAAAAAATATTACATCTGAGTCAGCCATACCTGCAGATGCTTGAATAACTACTTTATCATAAGTAATTAGTATTTTCAGTTTGAATTCAAATGTGCCTGCATCCTATGTGAAATATGAAATATCATACAAAATTGTGTGGGCCAGGGAACTCAACTCTAGCCCAATCAGGAGGTAGGAAATCCGCAAATTTGCATTACAGTACATAATAGAAGAAGATAAAAATTTTGCACTTTCCACCCCAATCCTCTAATTTACTAATTACGGTACCACGAAAATAAGTCTCAAGTAGCTAAGAACCTAAGGCTTTAAAATATATTTTCCCTTTTTTTTTACTAATTGGGTTGAAAGTTGCTGATGTCTGATATTCACTGCTGATCTAAGTCTGCAAGAAATTATGCGGGATATCGATTTGTTCTCAAAAAAAGAATATCCTGATGTGGAAAATTATTTAACGATTCAATGGCAGGTTGTGTGCCGTGAAAGGACATAAGCTACTATTTTTGCGCCTTTCCCGGGGGATAGAAGAGGGTCATGGGGCACTTTGTATGTGCGTTCGCAGAGCTCCACAGCTTCGGGAGTTGCATGGGTTTTCTTGGTGGCCAGTCTCAAATGGAGCTCAAACCATCCAGAATTGATCGACATTCAAACCTCTTATTTATATGGCTCCCCTGAGGGCAATCCGTCCCTTCGCCTTTCCATTCTTACCATCTCCTCCATGGATCAGGGGATAGTATTTCAGCCTGTGTGCCTAGGTGGAGGGTTTGGCGGCGTAACATGTATGTGCCAGATTCAAGTTTCTATTGGAAGGATAAAAGTGCGATTGCAATCGGAATCGTCCTCCCATTTATTCTCTCCCCGGAAGGCACAATTCCCACTCGCTTACTCCCCCAACCTTCTGCTCGGTCCTCTGCTTGAAAACTGCAAACATTCCCAGTTATATAACGGGTGGACAAGTTCGAAAGCTTCCTTCGATTCTACCATTATCAGCAACTACGAGAACGCCGAACACATATACGTCGAAAAAACATACTGCGGGCCACCACTACCACAGCCGCTACCGCCGGAATTACTGGCTCTTTCCGAAAGATGTGCAAACTCATTGCCCATAACTACACTCTCTGCAGGCACAGAACCTGGAGCACAAAAGAAGCGTGTTCACTAGCCGTCGAGGATGCAACACTGCCATATCCTGGCTGTCAAAGCTTCCCGATCACTGCTCGCACGTTTAGTGAGCCACCATCAGAGGCCGTTGCTGAAACTCTGCACTATCATAAGGAGACGTGCCAGCAGTTGGACTGCAAGTATACTGTTAAGGCTGAGAGGTTGGTCGGGAACTAGTGATTCGGAGTTGTCAGTGGTGTTTGGCGATGGGGAGGAGAGTTCGGCAGTTGTTGGGCTGAATGTGGGAGTTTGGAGATGGTTTGATGGGAGGGCGTGGAGTATTGGTACATTAGGGGATGGGGGGGATTTCGGTTTAAGTGGCAATTTTCTTACATCCCCAACTCTAATTTCTTGCGACATTCAATTTTAGTTTTCTTTTAGGGGGGAATAAACCCCTGATGCTGTGTGTTGTTTTCACCCCCGGGTCCTGTGTCAGACACGAGTGAGATACTGTGGAACTCGGGGAATCGAGCGGGACAACCGCTTTCGGTATTCCGAAGGGCTTTCGCCAAAAGAAATGGATATCCCCAAGGGTTAGGGTTAGTCTTTTGTGTGTTGGGTTGTCCTATCGGCGGGGGGGTGTGATATAACTGTATCATGGAAAAAAAAAAATACGGTACTGGTAGCGAGAGTATTCTCTATCGGGCACACCACGTTGTCAGTGAGACGGCGAGGGTACGGCTAGGATAAATAGTGATTATAGGTTTTTTTTTTTCTTATCGCACGAACTGAGATCTCTGTTGGCTTCATTTTGAGATAATCTGCTCCCAACGTTATAGAGAGGTAAACAGCTGAGGGTGACCAGCTAGATCAACGGGATTCCTAAACCCTCCTGTGTTAGGCCATCAGTTTTGGCTTCCTGTCTCCCTAGTTCTTTGCGTGAGTTTAGGTTACATAGCTCCCATTTCACTCTAAATTACTTTGTTTCCTAACTAGATTTATGTATATCGTACTTGTAGCTGGCAATACAAAACCGCGCAAATAGCTGGAAAGCGAACAGTCTCGCTCATTGATATAGTTCTTTATGCTGGGTGCGGGAAGAGCACTTTGATAGAGCTTGAAAAAAAAGGTGGACAAATGTTTCTCTTGGTATAAAGGCCTAACGGTACAGTGCAAGTAGTGTGGAGAACGGGGCAGGATCACGGTGATGATTATTCTCTGGGGTGTCTCTACGGCATGGTACTTAGTCCCTCGCAAGTGGCCATATGTGGGGAGGTGGAAGAAACAGAAGGGGCTCGCTCGGTGTAGATTCAATAACACCCCTGTCGGCACCCTACAGAAACTGTGTTTACGCACTTTTATGACATTTTATCATAACCTCTGCTCGTAAATTACATATTTTTTCCTTCTTTTTTTTTTAGCGGAAGAGACATGCAGATTCCGCGGTCCAAATCTAGTATATACAGTCGCCCCTGGCTATAGTGAACCTCGCTATGGTGAACGGGGGCTGAAAGGAAAGACTGTGATTGGTGCATGGGCTGTCTTGCGGCCTTGCTATTGGCTAATCTCTATAGTGAACAGTGTTTTTTTGCGTTCACTATAGCCAGGGACGACAGTACTGTACATCCATAGGAAAGAGACCAATAGTGATTAATCAGCAAGACACGATTTCAACTTGGAGCAATTCGATGGATACTGCCGGTATCCACAGTGTTTGGTAATGAATGATAGAGCCGGTGTACTGCCTTCCTTTAATGGAAGGTGCGGAACCAGCATTCCTCGTTCGTTGGAGGGACAGCTTAGCCCTCAGGGCCCTTGATGAACCTTGTTTTTCCATCGGAATGGCCAGTACTCGAGTACGAGTACTGCTGTGGTAGCTGCTAAAGATCTTCGAATAGTAAAAAAGAAAAGAAAAAGAAGGGAAAAAAACTTTTTTATATAATGTGACATACCGAGGTGGGTTAGTTACTTTTTTTCTTTTCTTTTTTCGAGAACCCTCGGGACCTGTACAGGCACCGTATACAAGTACCGGTAGGCCTGTCAGATGGGGCAACAGCTGCATAGCATCTCGCTGGAAGGAGTTGCAATTGAAGTTTCATTGACTCCCGATACCGTTCGAAACACCGCAACTTTCGTCAGGTTCTCATACCCCCCTCGTATTGTGCCTCAGGAACAATATCAACAGTAATCAAGTCCCTTTTCGATAGTACGCGTCTTCAGATACCCCTCCGGAGACGCTCTGGGAATTTATCGCGACATTTTTTACTCTTTAGAAGAGCACGAGAGAGGACTAGGGGTCTCTATCTATGGTATGATATCATAATTATCTACTTGTACAAGCACAGTTCTCGAGTACAGTACATGTACAAGGACTCCTGAGATAGTGGATTTAAGCGTTATACGGCGCACAGGAGGCACCCAATACGGTAGGTGAATTTTGCTATAATATTGGGGACACTATAGTGTGTGGGCACGTTAGATCCCTGTCCTTGCTCCAGGGGACATTTAGGGGGGGCTCTCTGTTTTCTCTTCCTTTCTTTTCGCTTTCTAGGCGTGAGTTCATGAGGCTGAGTTTGTGAGGCTCTAGTAAAGAGAGATTGTTGAAAGTCGAAAAAAGAGGCAAACAAGGCTGGGGTCCGGAGTCACAGTGCTCGTATCATGCGGCCATCCAGAATTCACCAAGCGGCTATGGAATCCAATTCCAGTTTCCGCTCTGCCCCACAAAATCCCGTTCTATGCTGAAATAATGAAGTAGTCAATGCGCCGGTTGTCGTATTGTGGTAAAGTGGATTTCGAAGGGGGAGCCTTCAGTCGTGATCAATGGTGATGTGCCTAATCTCAAATAGCAGATGGGATGGGGTTAAAGTGTTATGGTCAGATGCTGGCCTTGGGGTGCAATTGGGCTCGAGTAGAGAGAGAAAACTGTGGGTGTTGGCAGCCAGTATTCTGGGTTTTTTCTCTTTTTCATGTCCAAGGTTAGGTGAGTTACTGGTTCCTATTTCATCTTGTCTGTTTTAATTACGCAGATCGCCTCCAGATATTATTTCCACTCTCCCCCTATCCTTTCTCTCTTCCCCTCTTTTCTCCTTTTGGTATCTTTATCGTTGAATTTTTCCGCATTTCCTAACAGTTTCAAGTATTAACAAAAAGCTATTGCGAAGGTATGATATCAAATAATAAAGTTCTTCGGTTCGGTCGAAAATACTGTACCTTCCAATGCCATGTGGTTCGCGTACACTGACCTCTCGCGCTATGGTGTTTTGGGGCTCTGGGTTGCTCACTAGGTAGTTTTTATGTAATTGGCTACCCGTAGAGTAATAGGGCAGCGGTCCAAGGGTGACCACTAGGCTATAATATAAGTTTGGATGTCTGCCACCTGATGTTCACCAATTTCGCACCTTTCACACAACCACTGCAGTCACCCCTACCTACTATAGCTCAAACTCACGCAATGAGCCACCAAGAACCTAGTATCCTCTCCGAGGGAAAGGGAACGCTCTCCCTTCCTACCAACTCCAGCGGTCGCACCGGAGAGGTCGGGGGAATAACCACTACCCCTAGGTTTCATCGTTCCGAATTCCTCATTGTCAAGGAGACGGTCGAGAATGTCCTATGTTGGTTCAAGAGCCTTGCGGCCCTCAAAAACATTAAAGAAGAACTATCCTTCGGGGTGGAACTGGTCAGCCACCTCCTTTCGCTACCTAAATTCGATAAGAAATACGGAGTAGATCTCCAGGTTTTGAAGTACACTATCGGCGAGCTTAGAGCGGGTCTCGCTACGGTTAAGGCAAGGGCCATGGAGAATGTGGAGGTTGCAATCGGGGAGAAGAGGGATATCAAGAGGCAAAAAAGGAGGAGGGAAGAGAGAGTGGCTGCGGTGAGGGAGACCATGGAGAGAACCGCTCGGTGGGTGGCAGAAGTGGCTGCAAGCGGAGCCTACAATGGAGGTAGGATAGCTGCACACATCCAAGTTGTTTGGCCGTATGTGGGTTATAACGACTGATTGTTTTAGTAATATAAGTGATTTAGGTTTTTTATTTTCTGGAGAATGTAGTGTGAAAGCTTTCCACCCCCGCGCTGACCAGTTGTCTGCAGTGGATGGAAGGATGAATGAAGATGGAATACTTTCTCGGTAAATTATTTGCATGATACACTTAGTCCGTGAACTTCCGTTCTGGGTGCCCTCAAGTGGCTTAACTTCGATTGAATACAACTGAGCTGCTCACAGCTTCTCACTCGTGCCTCTCTAGAACTGCCATCTGAGCATTTTATTTATCGGCTAGCAGTCGGGCTAGAGATTAAAAACATGAATAACGTGAGCGAGGGTAGGATAAGAAGGAATTAGGGTATCGGCCCCGGGGGGTGGCGTTTGGGTCCCTATTCATTAACGACGTGGGGGGTATTCAAGTAACTGCGGGTCTGATAGACCCACACAGGACTCGACGTCCAGATTGGCGGTGAAGGGTCCTGTTACTACTTGGAAAAGGGACGACATTGGGAGGAAGTGCTTTGGCGTTACTCGCTTCCACGAGTATTGACTAAGGGGCCTACTCTGGTCCGCTTGCTGTCCCTCTTGTACGGAGTTGCTGTGGTTAGGCCTGGCCCCGTTTTTTTTGCCCAATTTCCACCCGCGGTCACAGAGCAATCTAGGAGGACCGATGTTTGATCAGCGGCTTTTCCTGTGTTTTGGTATGGTATCACGTTTAAGTATACCATGCCCGACTCCCAGTTTGGGAGAGCTGTTGGCGTGTAAGGTACCAAAAAAGGGCGCACATGCAGTGAATGCTCAAGGTGTTTTATTCCAATAAAAAAAACATCGACTTTCTAAACAAATCTCGAAATGCCAAAACCAAGGGAAAACATAGGACGGGTTATTAATTCTTGTAGGAGTAATGAAAGTCAGCTTTGTAACTTATAGGCTGTCTCCTCGGAATCACTATTACGGTGGCCCATAACGGCGGAAGCTGCTACTATGCATAGATCTTGGAGGCAAAAACTTAAGCCTTAAGTGCAGAAAACAGGACACCA